CACAGTATAACAACTTGACACATGGTATCATGTCACAATATAACCCAACACATTATAATGCAACATAATATATTGTGTTATATTATTTTCTGTTGTGTTATAATTTGTTTTTTTTATGATGCATTCTATTATATTAGGTTGTGTTATAATGTGATCTGATGTAGTATCTTGTGTTATGTTATGTTGTGTTACAATGTTTTGTATCATGTTTGATTGTGTTATAATCTTTGATGCTATATTATGATATGATATAATGTTTTATTAGGATATGTTGTGGTAAAATTTGTTTTGTTGTTCTATGGTATGTTACAATGTATAGTGTTGTATCTTGATTAGTTACGTTATAATGCATTGTGTTATGTCATTACAATGTGTCATGTTATCTTATGTTGTGTTACAGTGTGGAGTTATGTAATGTTGTTGCATTATGTGTTGTAATTTGTTGTGCAGATATTTTTGTTATAGTGTGTTACGTCATAATGTGATGTCATGTTATGGTGTGTTATAATGTGTTACGTCATAATGTGATGTCATGTTATGGTGTATTATAATGTGTTGTATAGTGATATGTTGTGATGAGTGCAGTGCTGTTGTGCAGTGACATTTTGTGTTGCAATGTGTTGTTTTGTTATGTAGCTAGCATTACCATATTTTGTGTTATTTTGTGTTGTGAGAAATTGTTATGTTGCTTGTTATGCCACATTGATTGTCAAGCATCTGCGTCAGCTGCTCAGCATTCATCATCAGACATTGGTCACATCGATTGTATAGCACGTGTGTCTCTGTCAATCATCTGGCATTGGACACACCAATCGCAAAGAGCATGCATCAGTGTTGATCATTGGCATCGGCTAAATCCATCACAAAGCGCATGTGTTTGTGTCAATAATCTGGCATTGGCCACATTGATTGCAAAGAGCTTGCATCAGTGTTGATCATTGGGCATCAACCACTTTGATCGCATAAGCATGCATCAGTGTTGACCATTGAGCATTGGCTATATTGATCATGAAGCACACATGTTTGTGACAATTGTCAGGCATCGGCCACATCAATCATAAATCGCGTGTGCCCGTATCAATCATGTGTCATTGGTGAGGGCTACACTTTTGTTTTTAACAGGCATATTGGCACTTTCTTCCCTGGCGTACTGACATACATCCCAAAATGAACCTCCGACATACATGCCGCACCTTCCTGACCATGGGTGCCTTCTAATGAGGGATTAATTTTGGCAAATACCGTAGTCCGTAGTACAAACCCGTATGTCAATGTTGAGAATATGTTACGTTCCTGACATCCTCCCGGCTGGTTGAATGGATGTGCTATGCAAACCCATTTAATACAAAAATACAGACCACAATTTTTTTTCAATTATCAGTTCTCATTTTTTGCAACTTTGAAGGTTAGTTATATATACGAACTACAAACATTAATAAAATCAAGAGACATATCACATGACACATGATGATGTGCCTATCAGCATTGCGTAAAAGTCTGTAAAGACGATGTTGCTATACCATTATGTTGGGAATTTCTGATGACAGTTATGCCTAGACATATTTTATTTAAAGAAGATTTTGCAGTCAAAACTATTTTCCATTAATTAGAATGATGAAATTATTCCTGGCTCCTTTCATTAACTGTAGAACCTTTAATAACCCTATCAGTGCACTAATAGTATATATAGAACAAGCAAAATTTGTGATTTAATACTAATATTTGCTTACCATCAACCGAGGCTACTTGGGATGGGCGGGGTAACTCGGGACAGTCCTCTGACACGGCGTAAAACTGTTTTAGTAGCAAAACTAATTGGAATATTGCAAAACTAAATATAGTGGCGTAAACATCAACATTTTTCCTATCTATGTAGTATAAAGGAAGTTCAAAAATACTACATTCACTAGCTTTGAAAAATTCCTGAAAAATGGTGAAAAACAATATTTTGAAAAGTTACTTCTGCTAAGGTCTGTAGTAAAAATAATATTCACCGTATTAAAAAATTTTACTTACATAAAAGTTGCACCCAGGTGTCGGCTTGAAAACGTAATTGACAGATTTTGCCTATCTCATTCCAAAAAAAATGGCGGTCATTTCCGCACGACGGGGCTACTTTGGACACCCCCCCTCCCTCAGAGCCATTTGGGACACCCCCATAAGTGCATTTACAGTAGAACCTCAGTTTGCAAAGGCTCCAGTTAAGAAAAAAATTGATTAAAAACGAAGAATATTGATTACATTTACCTTGCTGAGCGAAAAAAAGTTCACTTATCAAAAAATTAGTGCATCATCGGCCATCACAAAATTGTGCATAGAATATCATATTTAGAATTGTGCACCAGGCATCATAGAGTAAAAAGTAATTGACCTAAACTATGATTTATTTCTCCAAACATATGATGGTTGTCACTAAAACATTCCTTTCTGTTTCAGGTAGGTTTTTCACTATCTTTTTCGAGCATTTTCTCATTTATGGATAAAATGCACTATTGTGCTCGCCATGTCCATCTGTCTTTCTGTCTGTCCGTCCTCTCGTGAGCTCAAGTTTTTGTCGACAAGAAAATGCGCTCTCTGTCACTCACTGCAGTGAGTACTGAGTTATATTTTTTTATAGTAAATTCACTTAACACAATTAAAATGGTGTGAAATTACAAGCTGTCCTGTAAGCTTACAGATACAGAAAAAATGCTATCCTATAAGGCTGCTGATATGAAGCTTGCAGTGGACAAGGTTGTTGTAAATGCTCAATGGCATGTTCATGGATACGGTAATATCGCATCAATAATACAGTAATATCACATCAATAATACAGTACCATCAACTGAACTGAGGGACTTCACTGCCCCTGGGTTTTTGAATTTGATTTGCAAACAAAAGCGGGGTCATAAACGATGGCCAAAGTCACTCTGGCGTTTATGACCTTGTTTACAACCCTGGCGTTTATGACCCCAGCGTTTAGGACCCCGTTTTTGTTTGCAAAACAAAATCAAAAACCCAGGGGAAGTCACCCCAGTTGACGGTAATTAATGTTTATGGTAATATCATATCAATAAAAGAAAAACAAGTAAAAATCACAGAAAATGCCATTTATTCTACCTCTACATCATTTACAATGAAAGAAGAGGACTTCAGAGTACTGTTAGTAATGGATGAGCACACTCTGCATGCTTCAAATGATTTAAAATGAAGTTTTATTCAAGGTCTCCCGAGTAGCCCCGTTCAATGGGGCTACTCGGGACACTGTTTTTTTTTTTCTTCTGGCACCTTACGAATAGCATATGGAATTTTTTTGACAATGCCATTCAATAGCCCTCGCAAAGAGCTATAAAATGAGCCTAAATTTGTTTATGCAATGTTTCATCGTAAGAAGTTATTAACAAAAAAATGCTCAAAACTGTCCCGAGTTGAAGGTACGTACTTCATATGCCCAATTTCTGAGGACTTGGTTCTTCACCACTTGCCTCACGTCCGGACAGTCTACGGAAGGTAAACAAATGATGTTCCCATAAGAAATTTGTAGAAAATTTCTTCTAAAATAAATTTCTAGATTTTTACTTTCACAAAATTTCCATATCAAGGAAAATCATAGATTATTGATGGATAATAAAATGCATATTGAGTATTATAAGTTTTCTGTTGCTTATCGATTGACAAAATGTATCTGCGCGCTGCGCAGACGCTTGCGCGCGTGAGCAGGGATGGCCAGAGGCCAGAAGTTGCGGCAACTGTGTGCAGCAATAGCATAAAAAAGTCATAATGCACGGGAAAATTCCCCAAAAACATACATCATGTTGAGTGTGGTATCAGTACCATGTTATTTGCTATTGCTAGGCTAATAGCTATTAGCTAGCACCTAGCAAGGGCCATTTTAAGAAAATGGTGCATTTTTGCTCAAAATTTTCGAAAATATCATGGAAACAATATTTTTTGATAAAAATTTGTTAGAAATTTTGCTGGATTTTCCAGATTAGTACTTTTGCATTTAATCAAAATTTAATAAGTTTGTACGGTATATGAGATTTTTGTAATTATAAGATATGTAAAAAGTATAACTTTATTAATGAATTTTGCTACTCAGAAGTGACAGGGAAGCTTTAGTTGCAACACAGAATTGACAGAAAGATGTATATTAGGATATATATGTTATTGTAATTAGGCAGATGTTCTTCATTTATACAGTATGTACAGGTTTGATTGAAAACCAGAGCGTACGTACTTTTTATTAACAATTTTCTTATTGTTTTTTTTCTATATGCTGAACAAAATTTTTGCAGGTGCTTCACCTTGCTTGGAGATCAAAAAGCAGATTACCAAATGACATTTTACTGCAATGCAATGTTTCAAATATACTACCAATACTTCTTCATTATCAAGCAAGTGAAGAGTTATTACAACGCTTAAAATTGAAATTTGGATATGACATAAGTTCATGCAGAAAGTATCGTAGATATGGTTTAAAATAAAGAATGAAATTACTCCAAGAATTATTTATACATCCTGACGAATCTGGCGGTTTGCAAATTGATAGCAGGAGACTCATCCTTGATGATGAGAGCCTCCGCTATTGACAGTCTTCAGTCTTGTACCGTCGGGGCACCACATGACGATGCTGGTGCAGGCCTCTAATTTGGCACAGATGATTGACTTGTTGTGGGCCTCTCATATATGATTCTTTGGTCCTCCAGCTTGCAGATGGCATGTGAGTCTGCGGCTCAATGTCGTGCTAGTCAAACCGATGTAATTTACATTTTAGAGAAGTCTACAACCTTCTTTCAAGCAGGAAAATTTGTAAATGACATTGGTTTCTTACAGCGGTCTGGACTTTTTACATGGATTGTTTTTCATGATTAAATTATTGATCTTTTTGTTTCAGTAGTAAATCAAAAGTTGTATTCGGTCAGTTACTGTTATGCAGCTGATGTTATTTTTCACAATTGAATTGAGGACTTGTTGACATCTGGCTTATAAAAAAACAAGAAAATTAATAATAAAAAGTACGCATTTTTTACATGCATTTTGTTTTTAAATTCTGCCTAATATTCCAGTTTGGTGTTATGTTCATGCTTGCTGATCTGCCCTCTTTATGCATGCAGAATTTAACTATGAACTCTTCTAATGAAATATGATGCCTTGAGTGCTGTTTAATTCATTGAGTTTTACCCAACAGTTCTTCACTATTTCAACAAATTAAAAAATCAATGGTAAGTTGAGTGCCCCATCATTGGTAAAATTATTAATTGTCATTGGTTTTTCTATGATTTTCTTGTTTTACAAGGTATTAGGTTGAAAGTAATTTGTTACACCAAGTACCAAACCAGTAATAAATGTATTTTTTGCAGAAATGCCTTCAGAACCCAGCAAAAGATCTATTGAAGAACAAGAGACTACAACATCTTTCAAGAGAGTCAAGGAATCTGACTCTGAAAATACTGAGCCTGCCAAGAAAATAAGCTTTGGACTTGTACAGCAGACTGGGAACAAAGTCTTATCAAGTGGCTTGAAAATGGGCTTCAGTAAAAGTCAAGGGTCTTTATCTACACAAACTAATAAAAAGTCCCAGGTATTCAGCAGTGCTTGAATTTAAATTAATATATCCACTCTATTTTTATGCATTTGTCAATGCTTTGTAGAAATAATTTAAGAAAAGGCTCTTATATCTAAGCTTAATTAGAGTGTGGTGTGAGAATACAGAATAGGAAAAAAATGCAGCCCTTCATTGTATGATATAATTGGCTTCTTATTAGGAAAAGTAGGTACCACGAATTCCATCTGTACTAGAGGAATGTACTGTCTGATTGCCCCCACAGTTTCTACTTGTTAAGAACCATCACTTTATTTATTAGCATCAAGATTTGTTCCATAACAATTGTTTTGAATTTGTTTGCAGAGCTCAACCATGACCAGAGTTGCTGCTGCATTTGAAGATGATGACCAAGAGGAGGAGGAGGAAGAAATGCCGCCAGAGGCCAAAATGCGCATGAAGAATATTGGCAGGCAAGTGTAAATTTGATGTTTCAAATTTGTTCCACTTCTAATTATGAATCATATAGCATTTTGCTGAGGATACACATTTAAGCCAAAGTTTTTGTTATGTTTAGTTTCCAGATCTTGTTGATTGATTATTTTTCATATGATTGGAATTGCATTCACCTAAAAATAATTTCTGCAGAGATACTCCAACTTCGGCTGGCCCCAACAGCTTTGGCAAGTCTCGAATTGGTTTCTGCGACTCAAAGAAAGTGTACGAAAAGAAAATGAAAGAAACAGAGAAGGAATTATTAGCCAAAGAAGAAGGTGGTGCTAAGAAAAAGAGCAGTTAATTGAGATCTTGCTCCTAAAAGGGGTCAATTAATTTCATCTTGATTTAACTAATTTCTGTTCCTCGATAATTAAAAAACTGGCTGTCCTGTACTCAGCATGCCTGACATCACATCGCGGATTTGATTTTCCACAGCAACTCGCAGTTAAATTTAAATCGGTGCAATGGTGAAGCGTTTTCATGCATAGAATTCCATAGCCAAAATAATGTTGACGTCAATTATATTAATTTCATTGCAATCATCAGCTGTGATTCGATCTGATACAGAACTTTTCCAAACGATTCATTCTAGAGCACGAAAAAATGCAGTTTGAAAAAATTTCATTTCGTATTTGCTGCAACGATCATACTGATTTAGTTTAGGAGCAACGAAGTGATCAAGTTCGTGATCATATGTTTGCTAGAGGCTGTTTAGATCGCTTGTAATTCAGTGAAAAACAAAGGCGTCGCTCAGACTCCTTTAATAAATTGAAGTAGCCTGATCAATTTTAATGGTCAAGTGTTTGTGTTGTGACAATTAAATCACTTACGGGACGTCTTTATTTAACTTAACATCTCATAAAGTGTCAGTTGATAAGGTCGAGAGTTATCATTTTCTGAATTTATAGTGCTGTCCTTGGTCTCTTATTTCGTTGTCAATTCTGGAGAAGCTCAAGCGAGGGGTTGCGTGGTTTAGTAATGTGCAGGGCCAAGTATTCGATTGCAGAGCAAGATTTTCCGTAGTTCACTCCCCGTCATCAGTGTCTGCCATGAGGAGCATAGCTCGTGCACTTTTCATCGCTCGTACCTGATTTTCTTGTATTTTAATGAACTTTCATCCGGAATGCTAAAGTTTTGTATAAGCTTTGTCATAGATCTACCTTCGAGATTGTAAATGTTCGAAGAGAAATGTTACGAAAATTCATGCTCTCCTAGGCACGAGTGACCAAACGTGGTGAGTAACGAATGAACTCGTGTTCATTGTTTCATCCTGAGTCGAGCTAAATTGTTCATATGAAGAGCATGAGTGCCACGCTTAGCATTTCCTTTGAAATGATTTAACCCTCTACCGCCTGACATGAGTAACCGGAGCAATATTGGCACAAGCCTACTTCCCAGAAAGATACGTTCAAGTGAGCGCAAAATGACTTGCACTGATGGTTGCTGCCACGTACGACAATTTTAAAATGTTCTCTGTTGCGTGCAAACGCCCTCAGGTTGCTACACTCAATAGTTTACGTATAATTTGAGTTGAAAGTTATGTTCCCGGATAAAGACATCAGGCGGTAGAGGGTTAAGCTTGTACTTCATATCGTGCTCAATACAGCAATTGAAACAAACTTTTGATAGTTAGCGTCTGGGTTGATGTCATCATGTACTATTGGTAAATGGATTAGCGTGGTCTGCAATGGACGTTTCCAGATTGAGTTCATGTCATTATTTTTTATGCAATTTTGTAGAGATAAAAGCAAATCCATGCCTGGATATCACGCCAGACGTTAATAATAACGTGGAAGTTAGTGTCGAAGGGGATCTCTGTCTTGTGCCAGTTCCCTAGACGTAGGTACGTCGCGTGGCACGACTCGAAATTCAACAAATTCGTCGCAAACGAAGCGACAATCGCCTACTAATCTGAAGTGCTGATGAGTCGCACCAATGGATTACAAGGCTCAAGTCGTCTGCCATAGTGCGGTATCAGGCTGGATTCTTTATTAATTGCTGTATTTTACATTAAATTGATTGGCGTGAAAGAAAAATCTTGTCTTGTACACTGCATGCTTTTGGCTTAAAATTGTCTAAGGTGAGAAATAAAGACCGAAAATACGGCTAATATATTTACCAGCATCACTAAGAAATAAAATACGAAAATTAATCACTTACATCTAAACAGTCGACGGTTCCATTTCAAGTAAAAATGTTCATTTAGTTCAATGCGGCATGCAGGCACTGAATTGAAATTATTTCAATAGCAAGCTTACTTCAACACATTTCACGAAGTAATTTTGCCATCTGAATAAAAGGGAGGGTTGACGGCACAACCGGAATATGCCTGGCAGAAAGTCGATCTTCAATAATGTCAGTAAGCATAAGTGCTAGGAGAACATGTAAGAACATCACCAGACGATTGTATTCCTAATTAATCTTCTACATCTCTCCAGGTCCTAACTCGAAGCTAATTAGAAAAATTAAGTAGCATGCTACGTTTCAAACCCGGTAATGAAAAACCGTGCTCAACTGATCACGCACACTCTACAAAACTGTAGATTTTTCCGTTCATCTTTGAACAACTTTACTCTTCAATAAACGAAGACCATTTTCGATCCAAATTCGACAGTCAAGAAATATTTAACCATTTAACTCCTTCGTTCATAAGCGACTATTATTCAACGGGATGCGTGTGGTAATGTGGTTCTCATGGCTTGGACTCGATGTGCCGCTGCAGGACGGACTTGAAATTCTTCATCTCGGTACGGTCGATATTTGGAACCTCACGTTCCAACATTGATAGAAATTCAGCAGTGATTTCCTGCAAATAAAACATCACATCAGACTAAAATGATAGGCTTAGACTTGTTTGGGCGCATCTTAAATCTGGTTCAATTAATTCGCAAAACCATCCATTGGAAGCAAGCGGATGGAAGGTGAACAGATACCAGTATCCTTCAACTCCATTACGTGCAAGTATTTCTGACCTAAAATAACGGTTTAAGACGCAAACGTTGAGCAAATGGCAACTGAAATTTGGCTGGCAGTACAGAGTTATGCCAGGATTACCATAATTATTCGAATCAGCTTTTTTCGAGAGCGTATCCGTGAATGTGATATTCATTTAGTAAATTTTTTGAATTAATAAATCACCTGTTATTATCGGCAATGATCAAGAAAAGTCTTCAAGTGGAAGGCTGCCAGCATTGGCTTCATTCAAAACAAATTAAAGAGGTTAAAATACCTACATGCAAATGAATTATATAGCATTAGAGAAAAAAACTTGTAACAATTTATTTCCCTCAATATATTTGTCCAAATTGAAACTACTTGCTTCTTTTGAAAATCGTTCGATTTCATAGTCATGAACGTGTTACGTGACGTTACTGCGAGGTCTCTCGCGAACCTTACATGAATGTGCAACGCGTCATACCTAACAAGTTCTTCACACGTAACACGTTAGATCGTACAGTCTCACGCGTCAGTGAGCCGGAAAACCCTTGGCAATCTTGGAAGATTTAATTAAACAATGAATTAATAGTTCAATATTGAAATATTAACTACCATAGGGATTTACCATAGAGAAATCCCTACCATAGGGATTTACACGCTACTCAGATGTCTCACCCACACACCGCATGCCACGCTACTCAGATGTCTCACCCACACACCGCATGCCACGCTACTTAGACGTCTCACCCACACACCACGTGACGATACCTTCAGCTTAGGCTTCGAAGGTGAGAGGCTGAGCGGGCTGCCGGTGACGGACATGGGGACCTCTTGAGGCAGAGGGCGGCGCAACGTCGTGTTGGGGGGCAGAGGGAAGCGAGGGTCAAACTTGGGCGTGACCAGGAGCTGGGCGCCGAGCTTGTTGGCGCACACGCGCTGCCCCGCCGGCGTCACGAACATCGCTGTGTCACAAGCCTGCACAGACATCAGTCAGTCATTAAGAGCGCGGATAAGACCAAACGGCAGAGGCCCGCCAGCTGGCGCAGTGCACTACCTTTTTTATAAGGGTTTAGTACCCTTACAGTCCCCAACCCTTGTTTATTCTCTATGGTCATAATACATAACTTATTTGCAACAATGTCCGCACAGCAAATTATTAGTATTATTGTCAGAATGACATTATGCCCACAGACCACAAGATATTATCCTTCACTTAGATGTTGAATGGGACAGTGCATGAGCCAATATTGTAGACAAATTTCATTCCAGCTGATGATACTGTTAGGAGCTGCATTCAGGCAAATGAATTATTTTATTACGTTTTTCAATTAATTCTGTCCCCAGTTCTTTAATACTAATAAAGTGACAGCTAGTTAAAGTTTAATTAATGCATGGGAATGTGAATAAGTGTTTTTGGAGAGAGTAAATTTCCCATGGTCCTGCTTATCTGGTGCTTATACTGACTTGCCAACCACTCATACTGCCTACTGTACATGAGCCTGCTTTCTGGCAATGAAGACTTCCTTGCTGTCCTGTCACTGACCTACTAACATTGTCCTGGCTCTTGAATAGGTGAGTAAAGGGAATACTCTCGCCACACATATCAGTCCTAAATTTTAATTATTAAATGTTTGTTAAATCATCCCTCAAAATTGTGTTTCATAGTTTTGTATTAGGTAAGGATTGCTTAAGTGTTCCATGTGTTTTATTAGTGAATCAGTTTTATGTGTTTTTGATCCTGCACTTTTGCAGAGTGGCTAATTTGGAGCAGGTTCTGGACTAAATTGAGGCCAGTGCTTGACTAGTGTCTGACGAGCTTTGAACAAACTGAGCCACATTGTGGTTCAAGTCTTGGGCCACTTGAGCTGAGCTCAGAGGCCAGTAAGGATACCTGTCACGTCCAGTCTATAAACTCATGCTGGTACTGCCCCAACGTGCCAGTTGAATCTACCCCACTGCTACTCACAAGCTAGACCTCCGCCTTCTTGGTTCCCTGTCACGGACATGCTTGTAGGGCGTGACCAGGCTTGACCCAGGACCAATTTTCAAAAACTTTATTTCTCTTTTTAGCGCATTTTCTCATTTATGGAAAAAATGCACTAGGTATTGTGCTTGCCATGTCCGTCTGTCCGTGACTTCACGTTTTCGTCAACGAGAAAATGCGCTCTCTGTCACTCACTGCAGTGAGAACTGAGTCATATTTTTTGCTATTTCGGTTTGATTTATTTCAGTCATTATTATCTCGGCCCAGTTGAGTTCATTTAGCAGTTATCCTTGCTTATTCCGTTCTGCTCAATCCAGTTTGGGCTACTGATGATGTTGGTTCTCAAGCTAGGTTCACCTCATCACTGACAGACAGTGATGTCTGTCAGTGATGACAGCCCTGGGCTGTCATATCACTAACCAACTATTTTTCACATTTCATCTTCATGTACCATTGAGTTGTATTCAATATATTTTTGCTTGGTTCTTCCTCTGTTTGTTCTCCTGAGGTCGTTTAGTTACACGTGTTGGTACTATACCGGCCAGACTGTTGACCTGTAGAGAGGCTGACTACTAACAATACTGGTACTTCAAATGCGATGCAAAAGCATACCTTTTTAGCGCGTAGGGCTCGCGTCATGCTAGGGGGCCCGAGGGAAGCGCCAGGACCGTCGGTAGGTCCTCGCCGTAACCTAGAACCTGCACACAAGTTCTGAGTCAAAAGTTGCTAGAAGACCAGCCAAAACAAGACAAAATGTTCCTCATTTTATTCATCTATTTTGAGGTACCAGCACATATAGGTAGCTAAGGCTAAGCATTTCATGTGCACAGGAAAATGCAAAGGGATTCATGAATGGAAAAATGGAGCTCCTCATAATGTGTGTGTGCAGCTCACTGTTGCTGATGTTCATGATGACAAATTTGATACTCTACTAAAAAAAGTTTGAATGAAACAAAATGTTTACCCGCGATATAAAAACATGAAGATATAAAGCAGACAAAACCCCAAAACACTCAAGAGCAAGGCCATGGTTGGCCAATTGCCTTCCAACAAAGAGTAAAACTTCTAGCTTACAAATAAGGTAAACTGCGATTGGAAGAATTTAAAGCACTTATTCTGAGCAGAAAGTATAAGTCATGTATGAATATGATGGCTGTTTGGTCATTTTCAGTTTTTGGATTTTTTTAAAAAACCTAAAGGATGACCAAAATTTCCCAAATGCATCTAATAGAACACATCTGAGGAAGCATTTTTCAACACATGAAGATTTCTGTCAGATGACTGGAAAATGTATTTTAGTGCAGTCTTGGCAATCAGGGACTTTACTTCTAGACATAACACTGACTTTGGACGATTTTTTGGTTCCTTTTGATTTTTTGAGGGAAAAGTCCAAGCAATGACAATATTTTTCCAATGGCATCTTATAGAATATGTCAGGGGAAGCTTTTTTGACTAAAGTTTTCTGTCAGATGCCTGGAATATATATTTTCTAACAGTTTTCCCAACAGTGATTCTTCAATTGCAAAAAACAGTCTTGGAAACCCTTTTGGAAAAATTTGATACATACAAAATGAGTGCCAATGATACCTAGTTTTGCATCATTAATAACCATCAGCAAGGCCCTGGCATGCGTTTTGAGTGCAGTCCAGGGTGCCAAAGTGTGCACCATATCAAGCCAAATGGTTCATTTTAGAGAATTAGTTTTATAGCAAAAAGTTGCCTTTTAATGCATTGTTTGTCCACTTTCTCATTTTTACTCTGAACCACACACAGCCCCAGTAATAATGCTAAAAAAACTAAATTAAATCACAGCACCCACAACTGTGGAGTTTCAACTCCAATCCAACTTCAAAAATACTCTTCTAGATCCACAAAGCGTTTCTTTTCCAAATATTTCACAAATTAGATGTTTTAGGGAGAAAAGAGTCTTTATGGACCCAAATTAATTTTTTATTTAAAATATTTTCTTCCCAAGTGACTTTATTCTCTATCCCTGACCATTTTTGACTTGTATGTGAATAAATAAAACAATCTAAAACAAAATTCTGAGTCCCATTCATTCCCAAACATATTGCATTGGATCCCTGATTTTCATAAGAATAATTTCTCTCCATATGACTGAAACCAAAAATTTTGTTATTGATGAAATTTTGAGCATTACATATAGACAGAACCCCATTGAAAAATGCACTGATGAAAAAGTCCTCAGTAATTAAATGTAGGCCCTGGTCAAATTAGCTTAAAACAAAAATTTGGATCACTTGCTATGATGGTTGATAAGCTAGAAGTAATTTATATTTTTTAATAAAAATAAACAAAAGGTTTATTTTTATTATAAACAAATATGAGTTTATTTTTTAATTTTGTTCATGAATGCACAAGACCCCAGGCAATATTTTCTATTGATATGACATACATTTTTTTGAGTCTTTACAAGTTATTGAACTTTTCATAATATACATTTTTTACAACTTCTTAAATATGGGTCCTACTAAAAAATTATTCATGATGAACCAGTAGCCCATTGACCAAGTAGCTTAGTAACATAAATTTGGAGCACAAGACCAAGGGGTTCAATAGTTCAATGCCAAAAACCTGACCTTCAAGGTTTTCAAGCCAGAACTATTGAAAAAACTTTTGATTTGGCTCAAAAAATTTTTTCATGTGCACTCAGACGTTCACAAATGCAAAGTTTCAGAGCAATCAGTGAAGATTTGTGGCCTTGGCAACATTTGATAGATAGGCACAGCATTTCAGAATAAAAGTTTCTGGGTGTAAATACCCAATCCAGCATATAGTGAATTAGAGACACAAGCCCAATAATATTTCGTTTGGGTTTTACCAAGTAAGGCCTCAACCAAAAGCTCGCCATGTGACTAGAGGTCAGGGCGGGATCTAGAATTGGCAACCAGGGCAAGATCCCCACTCTGGAGGGGTGGCAGTCTTGCAAAAATTGCTGTGGATAGGTGGCGAAAATTGTAGGAACAAGCGAAACAGCTCCAATCACAAGAGTAGGAGTTAGGAAGTTCAACCATCACAATATTGGAATTTTACAACACATCTCAGGAATGTGACAAATTTTTTAATTCATGAATATGAACAGAGTGAGATCTGAATTGAAGAGACAAGTACTCAAAGAAAGTGCAAATTTTTAAAGGACACAAATATTTTCACTAACAATAATAAAAATTCATAAGAATGTATCACAAATAGCAGCATAGAACTCCATTTACCAACATGAAAAATAATTACAAGTACGTAACATCCACAAAGCTAGTTCGGCAGGAGCGGCTCACTTTCTGTGTGCCTACAGCCAGCGAAGCGGACGCTAAACTTATACTCTCCACTTTTGATTCGGCAGGAGCGGCTCACTTTCTGTGTGCCTACAGCCAGCGAAGCGGACGCTAAACTTATACTCTCCACTTTTGATATGCTGCTGCTGTATAATCACGTACCGTAAAATGGGGTAACTTAGACCGGCGGGGTAACTTAGACCACTTTTAGTTTTTTTAAGAAAAACCCCCACAACTCAAAAACTATTTGACATAGAAAAATTTTGTCAATGGGCATTAAAGGCCTAATACTGAGGCTACATAACACAATAGAAAGATTTAAAAAGTTTGCATATCTAATAGGTTAAAAAATTAAAAATGTGACCCACGAAAAAAAGCTATTATTTAAAGCCTGTCAGAGTCTGTCTCTTATACACATCTAGATGTGTATAAGAGACAGGTTTAGGTTCAAGCCAGGAACAAGTTCCTATGGCGACAATCACATAGGGTGGTTAAGTTAGGGTTGATTAGGGTACGGCAAAGTTAGTTCAGGTTAGGTTAGGTTAGGATAGGTTAAGTTAGGTTAGGTTGTGTTGGGTTAGGTAAGGTTAGGCAAGGTAAGGTTAGGTGAAGTAAGGTTAAGTGAGGTAAGATTAGGTTAGGACAGGTAGGATATGTCAGGCTGTGTTCAGTTCGGTTAGGTTATGTTAGGGTTTTTGGCTAGGTAAAACTAATGTAAGATTGTTTTAAACACGAATGATACACACAGGAAAAGGCCACAATTGGGGGATTGCTGTGTGTAGTAGGAAATGTGTGGCAAAAAGAAGAAGAAGAGAGAAAAAGAAAAAAAAATAAAAAAAGTATAGCGGCTGATCTGGTTTCAACTTGTACACTTGTAGCAGTTTCAATATTACAATATTACTTCTAAAGTTCTTACTTGATCTTGTAGCAGATGCAGGTAAGGGAGTAGCAGCAGCAGCAGCAGCAATGGGAGGATTAGCTTTTTTCTTGCGTGACTTTGCAGTGGCAAATTTAGTGCCTGTTTCTGCTATCAATGCTGAGATATCAGACATTCGAGCAGCTTTAGGAAGAACTGCTTCAGGTATTGCAAAAGTTGCCATTTCATGTTGCTGGCTTTCAGATATATTGGAATTCTTTGAAAGATCTATATTTTGAGGATTGCTGTCTGCAGCTGATGTACCAACACCATCACCCCTGAGGCCAGCAGTTGAGGTCAAGCCTTCCTGTTGGGGCTGCATTACAGCACCTCGCTTTGAGGCCTGTGGTGTTGGTGCTGGTCGACCATCTACAGTGTCACTCTTTTCTGACTGATGGAAATATTTCATATTCAGATCAATTAATATATACAAATTAATCTCAAATAAATTAGATTGATACAGAAAAATTCATAAATCAATGACATGAAACTATTATCTGAACAGTAGTTACGGTATAATTTCTTTATACAGGTCTTCATAATTGTTATAGGAAATAAGTTTGCTGATACCATACCACATATAAATGAATGTAGTTCAGAACTATGTAAAAAATGCAACAAATGAAGGTATGTAATTGGAGACATCATATAATGCCATTTCTTGGTAAAACTCTCAAGAAATCTTTTAAACCAAAACAGAAAAGAAACGAAAATAAAACAAAAGTTCTAAAGAAGACAAAAATGACTTGGCTCGCTAGTAATAGTTATAGGTTATTTCAAAACCCAAGATGAGATTACTTTGCAGAACATGAATATTTAGAAAATCAGTCAAACAATGGACATGTTAACATGACTAAAATGAATTAAAATCTCATTCATGCAAATCAAATACAAAATTTACACAAGTGATGAAGTTTGTAATAAATGAATACCAAGAAGTTATCTTATAATGAAGCAAGAAAAAAATAGTTACCTCAAGCAGCTGCTTTACAGTCACGTTTTGCCAGGGAAGTAATCGTTGTCGGAATATCTCATAACTTTTCATTAGAGAAACTTCCAATTGTGTCTGCTCTTCTTTGAGGGTCTCAACTCTCAACATAACTGCACAAGCATGAAAAGATAATGAAAACCCTTTTCAAATTTTGGAGCAGTAGAAAAATTGATAATTTAAAATCTTGATGGAGGATTTTAATCAAAAATAAGTAAGTCAACAACAACAATAAGAACTCTAATGTATGAAGCATGAATTTCATTTAACTGAAGAAGAAATTTATGTACCAGTTTTTGATTCCCTGCTATGTGCCTTGAAATGGATTTATTCCTTATCATTCTGCATTTAATGTTCATGCTAGTTTTTCAAATTTCAGCAAATTACCAATAGCTGTATCCTTATATATATTTAGTCTCAATGCACACCAATCATTCTTAATTATAATTTCAAAAACTAATTACCAATGCTAGAGCGTTTCAAAATCATATTCAATTTTTTTGTAACACAACACTTGGAACTATATAGTCTTAAAATAAAATTGGATTGTAAATATATAGTGTGAAACTTATTAATGAAACTCTTTAGCCTTGAAAATTGGTATTTTCTAAAATTCAGATGTCCATTTTTTCTCTTAGCCCAGAAAACAAAATACTTAACACACCATGTTTTGACAAGGTTTAAATTTTTCCTACCCAGTTCAACATTTCAATTTAAAGGTATAAGAAAATAATTCATGATGACACCATGCTGAATTTCAATAATTACAAAAATCTTGCTGACCAAATGGATATTCATGTTGAAATATGTTTGTAGTACCGTAAACATTAAACTTATCAACCACTTACCATTGCGTTTGAAGTCATCAATAATTAATGCTCTTCTTAGCCTCTCCTTCTCATCATCCACTGTGAGTTTGTTTGTGATGTTTGTCAACACTGGCTTGCAGCGAGTTGCAGCTCTAGAACGTTTCTTAGGTGCCATCTTATGCAATAAACCTCACAGTTTTTGACAAAAATTTAGAATTGGACATGCAATGAGCTATTATTAAAAAAACTTCTTTCTAAATACTTGATTGGTACTGATTCTTGAATGCTAGTTTTTGGTTCTCAGACTCAAGTTCTAATTCTGCTGAATTTGCAAAAGTAGTTCACAAGATGAGATAATGATTAAATTCAAGAAGATTATAATGTAGGTTTTAAAAATTTCAAACATTAAGGTTTCTCATTTAATTTATCAAAATATTAAATACTTAGAGTTTTTCATGCATTATTCAGATTGATATACCATTTTTATATTCTAGAATTTATTAAATTGTTTCAACAATCTGTGACAGCCATGTTCATGCATGCTTGGGAGAGTGCATCTTATGTGGAGGAGATAAGGAAAAGTTAACTTTGAGAAAAGATGGCAGTAAAGAAGAGGGAGGGGTTTGATAAGAGCTGCAAAGAGGAGAGAGAGGTTTAACCCTAATCATATTGGGTAAACAGGAAAATGCCCTCCATTTCTAATACCCTCTGTAAAAAAATAACTGCAAATCTCAAAGCCTTGTGTGTCAAGATATTCTCCAACTTAGATCTATTCTTGGTGTTGATCAATAATATTTTATCTGTTTTGATCTAGAATAATTAGGTAGGCCATAAAGCAAACATCATATAAATTGTTACCACTGAGAGCTGTTCTGCATGTTGGCAGCAACATCTGCTAGTTTCCAAAGCACATCATTTTTTTTTGTTTTTTACTGTGCCAGACATCTAACTTCCTAACTTCATGTAGTTTTTGAAATGACAGACAATGAACTCATTGACAATGAGATCAAAAAGCTAAATTAATATTGGAACAAATTACCTTTGAGAAAGAAACCAATGATGAAGATGCTCATGCACCAACAATAAAGATGCACATGCACATGATACTGGTATGCATAGTAGCTGTGCAACAGATACTGATATGCATAGGAAAACATCAGTTTAAAATTATTTTGACCTTAGTTACACATATTTTTCAAAGATATGGTTCTTTGTGCCATTAATCAGTAAATGACTGATAAGGTAACATGGTAAACTGCTTGCACTTCCTGAAGATTTTTTATGTAGGTTTTAGAACAAAATACTCAGTAATATTCAAAAATACTTGAACAAAAGGCAAATGATATAATTAAATTTTACCAGAAAATAATTAAACAACACTGTGACACAATTCAACTGATAAAAATAGAAAAGGCCATTGGACAAATACTTGATTATAACACATCTCTTGGTTTAACTAATGGAAAAGTTTCATTTGGTTAAACCAATGGAAAAGTACAGACCACAAGCTTGAATTTTTACTTGAATTTTCATTCAGTACTTAATAAATGCATGCTAGTATTAATGTTCCAAAACAATCTGATATTATGTATATACGGTACTATAAGTAATTAAACATAAACATTAATGCATGCAACATGTAATGCATGGGAGACGTCACAAATGATACGTCATAAAGCAAGTATTTTTAGAAATTTTTTGTAGGCCATTCTAGACTTTAAATGTGCTTCATTTATTATTAAATTTAATAAAATTGGAAAACTGATTGTTATTGTTGAACATCAACAAAGAAAATTGTGGCACATTAATTTAATTTGCTATTAATTTTCTCTTATGGCTGTAACTCATAGAAAACTTTTCACATCACAGATAGATTTCAATACTGTACACCAGTGTGGATTTCTAAAGGGATATTAAATTAACCAGTACAGATAGCATATTAGAAAACAGAATCTAAAAGCTTGGAAAGACCAGGAACTTTCCACTTTCAGTTCATTACATTATCCTGTCCCTTTACAGCTGAAATTGGTAGATAGGATTGTATGGTTATCTCTTTTCCAGCTGTGATTGGCTGATGGAATTGTAAGGTAATCTGCAATTGGTTGTGCCCAAAAGCTCCACCCCATACATATACCGTCAACCGGGGCAACTCGGGACTGGCGGGGCAACTCGGGACGCACCTCCGACACGGCGTAAAACTGTTATAGTAGCGAAACTAATTGGAATATTGCAAAACTAAATATAGTGGCGTAAACGTCAACATTTTTCCTATCTATGTAGTATAAAGGAAGTCAAAAAATACGACATTTACTAGCTTTGAAAAATTCCTGAAAAAATGGTGAAAAACGCTGTTTTGAAAAGTTACTTCTGCTAAGGTCTGTAGCAAAAAAAATATTCGCCATATTAAAAAATTTTACTTACATAAAAGTTGCACCCAGGTGTCGGCTTGAAAACGTAATTGACAGATTTTGCCTATCTCATTCCAAAAAAAAATGGCGGCCATTTCCGCACGGCAGGGCTACTCGGGCCACCCCCCCGGGGCTAGTCGAGACACCTCCAAAAACGCATTTACGGTAGAACCTCAGTTAGCTAAAGCTCCAATTGCGAAAAAAATTGATTAAAAACAAAGAATATTGATCACATTTTCCTTGCTCAGCGAAAAAAATTTCACTTATCGAAAAATTAGTGCATCATCAGTCATCACAAAATTGTGCATAGCATGTCATGTATAGAATTGTGCACCAGGCATCATAGAATGAAAAGTAATTGACCTAAACTACGATTTATTTCTCCAAAAGATACGTTGGTTGTCACTAAAACATTCCTTTCTGTTTCAGGTATGTTTTTCACAATCTTTTTTACTATAGTAAATTCACTTAACCCAATTAAAATGATGTGAAATTACGAGCTGTCCTGTAAGCTTACAGATACAAAAAAATGCTATAAGGCTGCTGATACGAAGCTTGCAGTGGACAAGGTTGTTGTAAATGCTCAATGGCATGTTCATGGATACGGTAATATCACATCAATAATACGATAATTGCACATCAATAATACGGTAATTAATGTATATGGCAATATCATATCAATAAAGGAAAAACAAGTAAAAATCACAGAAAATGTCATTTATTCTACCTCTACATCATCTACAATGAAAGAGGCGGACTTCAGAGTACTGTTAGTAATGGATGAGTACGCTCTGCATGCTTCAAGTGTTTTAAAATGAAGTTTTATTCCCAGTGTCCCGAGTAGCCCCGTTCAACGGGGCTACTCGGGACACTCTTTTTTTGCTTCTGGCACCTTACGAATAGCATATGGATTTTTTTTACGATGCCATTCGATATCCCTCGCAGAGAGCTATAAAATGAGCCTAAACTTGTTTATGAAATGTTTCATCGTAAGAAGTTATTAACAAAAAACGCTCAAAACTGTCCCAAGTAGCCCCGGTTGACGGTATATATATATATGGTGCGTTGTGAAAATGATGCGTTGTGAAAAAAAAGTCGCGCTAATCAAAACTGGCACCACGTAGATTAAAGGTAGGTTGCAAATTTTTTTTCCGCGTTAATCAAAACTGCAATATTCAAAACCGTGCTAATCAAGGGATTGCTGTATTATCATTTAACACTATTGTTTACTTCTTGTTGTAGAAAACGCAATCAGAAGGCAGAAGCCACTTGAATTGCCAATGTGAAACAAAATATTAATCAAATCAAAAGTAGAACAACCAAACAAAACAGAATTTGAAAATGTATAACACATGCCATACTGGTCTTGCCATCATGTTGTAGTAAATTGACAAAAAGTGAATGTGAATTATGAAGTTATGAACACATCTGAAAGTGAGTTGGCAAAAAATTAGTTTGCCATCCATTGTTGCTGGGTGCAGGAAGTCAGTCAGTGAATATCAAAAGACCTTTGGCAACGCATCAGCAGCAAAATTTACGCCTTTAGAAGATTTTGCAGACACATTAGGATTAAAATTATTGCATTTTAGAAGGTACTTTAAAATTATTGCAATTCTGGATGACCAGAAGCACACACAGTAAGGTTTCTGGTATGTTGGATGGATCAGGATGCAGTGTGTGGAGAGTAAGGGATACTATACTATCAAAGTTACTAGTAGCATTTTCTTATTAAAAATTACCCTGCAACGCATCTTGAAAATGGCTGGCGATGCTTTGGACTAAAAATCCATATATTGGCAATGCTGCTTGCAGCCTAGCACCCTCTGCACCCTGGCATTGTCACCTGGGGCAAGGCTGGGAGTAACTGTTACATCAGAAACAAATACTAAGGATACACTGGATCAGAGTGGAATTTAAGGAAATCCTTGGGCATTTAGCCCCCCCCCCCCCAGGGCTCTAGCAGGCACACTGTGACACTGCAAAGCAAAAAAAAAAAAAAATCTAGGTTTTTTCTTCCTGCTAGGTTTCTACGTTTTTAATTAACAAACTGATCTTAATCTACTTTTTTCAGAATGGTGCATTGAAAGCAGAAACCAATAAATAATTATTGTCAAGAAAGGAAGAACTGCTACAAGACTTACGCTATGAAGCCATTTACAGCAGATATGAAAGTAGATTACTGGATGCGAGACATGCTGATAAAGCTGTTATTTATGAGGGGGATGAGGAGGAATGATAATTATAATATGTTAAATCCCTGTTCATTGGTCAAAAATATTGGAAATATGTTTAATTGTAATTTATTTTCATCTCTATATATCCATACTGCTCATTCATATGTGAACAACAAGGATTTAATACTATGAATTACATGTTAGGACAAACCTAGGTTTTTTTTCATTCAATTCTAGGCTTTTTTAAGTATAATCTAGGTTTTTAATAAATAGTCACTGACACTGGTGGTGGTATTCTCGTAACCGTAAGTGGTAACTTGGGAAATAGTTGGTTACCGCTTAAAAAATTTAGGTGTCAGTAAAGTGGCTGACTAGACAAAAGTATAAGTAGTTGCTATGCAGTTGCAGTAGAATGAGTCTGAATGACTAGTTGACTAGTACCGGTAACTACAAATTTCCAATCAGTTTGATCAAGAAAATAAATCAATTATAAACTACTTATACATGGAATCAGGAATGATCACGAATGAATATTACTTACTAAGTTACAATGCTCAGCAAATGAAGACTATTTTACTCAGTTATCAGTAATCCACTTGAGGAGAAACTTGAGATCAGAGTAAGAACAGCACTTAGCAGTCAAAAGACATCAAAACTGTTACATGAATTAATTACGCGCCAGTTGTGGACTATAGATGTAACGGAATATAAACAAAGGATGATAAGGTAGACAACACTTGAAAGTGTTTTTGTCCTG